ACTTGGGCGATGGCCCTCTGACTGTCCGGATCGATCATCGGGGAGAGAAACTCGATCTCGCTCTCCGCGCTGCGTCCGCCGTCAAAGCTGGTTACACGAACCGGCTGGCCGGTCGCGACTGAGCCCAGATCGCCGGGATAGATGAACAGCTCGGCATGCAACTGGCTGGGGTCAGCGACCACGAAGAGCGGTTCGCTTCCGGTCGGACCGTTCAGCGTAGCGCCGCGTTCCACCACAACGCCGCTGATCGGCGATGTGACGGAATAGGTCTGCAAGCTCTCCGTCGCCGTGATGCGAGCGAGGGTCTGACCGGCTTCGACACGGTCGCCAATGCTGGCATTGAGAGCGACCACACGGCCCGGCAGCCAGCCGCGCAGCTCGGCCCGGCCCTCCGGTATGAGTGCGATCTCGCCATACACCTCGACGGTCTCGTCGAGCGTCGCCGGACCGGTTACCGACACCTCGATCCCGCCGGCTTCCGCCTGATCGCGGGAAAACGTCGTTCGGCCCTCATAGGACTCGTATTGCCACCGGGCATTCATGCCCGGCATCGAGGCCGTCACGGTCACATCAAAGGAGTGCGGCTCGGTGACGACACCATCGCCGCGAAGGAAATCATCCTGGGGCGCGAATGCAAAGCGGTCGATCTGGCCGCCGAGGCGACCGAGTTCGATGCTCGCCGTCACGCGGGACGGGTCGACCGGCTGGCCGTTGATATAGGGGAAGAGCCGGAATTCCGGATCGACACCATCCTCGAAAATCGTGAGTTCCAGTGCGAACTCGCCCTCGCGCAGCATGCGGCCGCGATGCGGACCGCGTTCATACTCGTCGCCTGCGACCTCGGCGCCATGGCCGCTGCCCGAAGCTTCGGGCGCGTCCTGCGAACAGGCCGCGAGTACGGCCAGGGCGGAGCCTAGAAGCAGGTATCGAATGGGGGAGGAAAACAGGATCGTCATTATTGCACTCCCATGCGCTGAGGCATGTTGTCGTGGGCGCCTGTCAAACGGCGCAACTGGATATCGGCCTGGTGAATGGCGTAGAGAGCATCAACCGAGCGCAGCCGCGCGTTGATGAGGGCCTGCTGGACGTCATAAATTTCCAGGAAGGAGAAACTGCCGCGGGCGAAGCCGGTTTCGGCCTGCTCCAGAGCGGTTTCCAAAGGCGGGATCACTGTCTCCTCAAGTGCGGCCAACTCTCCAGCCGCCGCCTGGCGGCGCAAGATCAGAGTCTGGAGCTGACGCTGAACGACCCGCTCGCGGGCGGCGAGGTCAGCATCAATCGCGGCTGCTTCGGATCGGGCCGATGCAATGTTGGCCTGATTGGCATTCCAAACCTGCAGCGGGATGGAGAAACGCACCCCCAGCGCCACATCATTCGACGACTGGAAGTGTCGCAGCTCAAGGCCGACATTTGCGTCCGGCACGGAGCGGGCCGTTTCAAGACCGATTTCGGCATCACTGCGGGCTCTCTGGGCTCGCAATAGAGCGATTTCGGGCGTATTCT